TATATATATATATATATATATCACTTAAATCCTTAATATTACATAAAAAATAATTTTTTTGAGGTTTAGGAAATATCTTGTCATATATATATATATATTGACAAAGTGTAGCAAATATAAATATTAAATTTTAGGTGTTAGATAAATAAATACATGGGAATTGTATTATATGAATGTATGTTTTCATACTTTTTAATATGTTAGACATGATCTTAAATTTGAATGAGAAATAGATCGGGGATAACCAAGAGAATAATAATCCTATAAAAAAAATATGTCTAAACATTTATCTCACAAAATTAAGGTTCTTGAAATTAATCTTTGATCATGATTAGCCAACTACATCTTTATTTTACTTGATCATGATTTCATAGATGGAGACTTATGATTAACACAATAATGTGTAGTTAATTTTTCTAATACAAACGATGGACTAAATTTATAGTGAGTTTCATTTCAAACCACTGGCTGCCAAAACCACTGGCCAATAAGAATTTCGGCAAAAATGAGAATTAGTGACATTGAAATTTAATGTACAAAAAAAAAAAAGAGGAGAAAGAAGCTAACGTCCAGTTTAAGATAATTATAGCTATTTGAAGGAAGAACTGTGAAGCTGCAGTTTAAATAACTGTTATTTAAAAAATTATTGAAGCTATTACAAATTTTGCTTTTGTTTTCAAAATATCAGCTTTTCTCATAACACGTAGAGTCTTTTTGGAACAGCTGTTGATTATTTATAATCTGCTGATAAGCAGATTATTCTGATAATATGATAATCTGCAAATTATCAGAATAAATTGGCTTGTTGTTTGAGGCAATTTATTCAGAACAACTTACTGGGAGTTGTTGTTGGATAAATGACCATTTTGCCTCTGTTTGGTTAAGCTGTTTACAACTTAACTGAATGAGGAAAATAATTGATAGAATAGTAGTCTCAAACTATTACAGTTCAGTTACAAAAATTAAAATATATTGTTCATCATTTTGTGAGTGTCAAAAGAAATACAATTACAATTAACAGTAAAAAAATTAATTAGTTCAGCATATAAATGAAATAAGAAGAAATACATAAATTGTTCACCATTTTCCAAGAACTGCTGTTGCCTCTCTTCTTCCGTAACAACTTGTAAGTCGAAGGCACTCTATCTCACAATTTTTTATTTTGGGGGAAGAAATATGAGGAGTTTCGGAGGGGAGCAGAGGAGGAGAAATATGGGGTTATCTTCCTCAATGCTTTCGGGTAGGAACAGAGGTCTACA